ATAAACAGACCCCTCGTGACCCCTGTTTTCGAGGCCCGAAAGGAGGCCTCCCCAAATTCTCCTGCCGCTGGGTCTGGCCCGCGAAACACGGCCAAATTTGACCACTTTTGGGGGTTTCCCCTCCCCCACACCCCCTTCGTACAGATCAGCAAAGCTGGACCTGGACGAAAGCTCAGAGAAGCTTTCGTAATAACTACCTTACAGTAATCACAGCAGTTGGTTGACGGTGGGCGGAAAGTGCACTCGGGAGATTTTGCATGCTTTGAACATCAGATCCTGCCTTGAAAAAGCCGAAGTCTGTATAGATGCCATCACTATCGGGCGACGGATCCTTCGCTGCCCTGGCCAGAGCCACTTAGACCATCTAGAGCGAAATGCTTCAGCTTTCGCATCGTATGCTACACTTAGTGTTTAGCTGTCGTTTTCACAGTGGAGCAAGTGCCATGCTCATCTCTATACGCCATAATGCTCCGTCCGTCACACCTGGCAAAGTTGTCCTGCTCCAGGCAACATATCAGGAAGCAGATTACCTTGCCAGGGAAATGAAATGCCAGCAAGCCCAGAGCATGTTACGTTGCACTCAGTCGCCCGCTATAAGGTATGTGGCATCTTGGGTCAAATATCTTCTTGCCTGTCGCATCTCTGGGCCGTTCACTGCTAGCAACTTTGTTGCAAGCGACAACCACGGACTGGACATGCTTCGATTTTTCGAGTTTGAATGGCTTGAGCTTGCATCTTGTCCCTAGCTACCCACGCAAATTGATGGCTGTCGACAGCTTTAGCCTAGACAGAAATGAGCAGCTTGCAAAAGCACAACTATTTCTTGACTGAAACGCTCTCTATGCGCGAGGCCATACAACTTGCCTGGCCCTTGAGGGAGTTCTCGGATCCTGTCAAGACGGTTTCCTCAACGCCTTCAACTCGGCCCGTGATGTCCAGCTCATGCCTCGAGGTACACTTGAAGTCCAGGCCAGACCCACTCTATGAGACATCACAATGCCAATACATTCAGGCAAGGGACGTTGCCGCAGAGAGCCGCATGGTCACCACCTTGCCAGACATAACTTGAACATCTCGAAGAAACATGTGTGCTGCAAGCCTCCCAACTGCAAGAGACAAAGTCCAACCTTTGACTACATCCATTGTCGTGATGAATCTTGCGAAGCTGAGCCCTGGGACCGTGGGCGTCGTGGAGAAGTACATCCTGAAGCACACCAGCAAGATGAGTCAGCTTGACAATTCCTGTCCTTCATGATTGAGGGTTTTCAGGCCATCACTGCTGTGAGGGTGTGGTGTTTGCTGGCGACCACTCCATCTTCCAGGCCAGTGGTCATCGATTGCTTGTCTAGTCTAGATCTGCGAGCATAAGAGCCGGTCAAGTTTGGGTTCCTTCAGGGAGGGATTTGGAGATTTTGGTGATTTTTGGTGGCTTGGTGTGCTTAGTGTCTTTGGTAGGACTTCGGGGCTGAGGGCATGCTGTTTGGTTTGGCCCAAGTTTGCTTCCAAACAGACTTTGCCAGAAGTAGCATGCCATTGCACTTTTGCGTGGGCATAAGCAGGACCCTGACTCTAGGCGACTCTGCGCGGCCCACCTCACTCTCCCGCTCTCGCGCCTGCCTGCAGGAAGAACTGACATCGTGCGTGAGTGGTGAGGTCTCGCTGTTGGTTCAGGGAGCCATGGGAGGGTGTTCTCCACCTGGCGGCGGCATGGGCCTTTTCGGCGATTGTGCTTTCCACTTTGCTGGCTCGCTTGGTCGTAACTGACTGTCAGTGGCCTTTGCTGCTGCTGCCGCCGCCACCGTTCAGGCCTATCGACGGGGCGTCCGAATGCCCCTTTGGGCTTCTTGGCTTCTCAGGAAACATCGAAAGCCTCCCACACCACCTGAAAGCCACCTGCGATCTGAACTTTACTCGAATCCAGGATCAACGCTGTGGGACCATTGGTGACTTGCTCGGACCCGGTACTGCGACAACGAGCTGGGTTTGCCCCAGACCAACCCTCAAACCATCATAATTCCTCTGGACGCTTGGGGTTCAGGGTTCATCGAGGCTTGGACCGATGCAGGGTTTCAGGATTTTGCCGCTTTCGGGTTTTCGGGCTTCGAGTTTCTGAACTTCAAAATGCGCAATGTGCCGATTTTGCCGCTACGGGCGGCCTGCAACCCTGCCAGCTTGGTAAGCAGGTCAATGGCCTTCATGGTCCTGCTATGTCCTGCTCTGACTCATGTATCCCCGTAAGATATTGGGGTAAAACCTAGGGATCTCAGTTTGTAGTAAAAGTGGTCTATGAAATGGGGTCCTCAACTGTTTTGGGGGCCGCTAGAAAACTGTTTTGGGGCCCCAGAACAATCTATGTAATGAGGCTGTTAAGATAGGTCTCATCACACGGGATCGATTTTCAAATTGAGCAGGGCTCAAGTAATCCAGATCGTAACTGCCCGCTCCTAGTTTAAACAAAGGGTCCAGCTGCGGAGGACTTGCTCGGCAGTGCTTTGATTTTCTAGCGTTGAGCTCACCACAAAAATAAGTTTCGGTGAGTAATTATGACGATTGTCAAGTAAGCTCTGAAGTTCTTCGTAGTGTTTGTTTGCTAGGTCTGGATTCACATGACATGCTCGTGCTACTTATGTAGAAATATGTAGAAATGACATCAAATTTGCCCGCTTGCATGTTGAAGGAAACTCGCATGTGCCGATCGCTGACAGGCTGAACAGAGACCATGTATCTAATTGCGCGACGTGAAAGGACTATACCTACCCCTGCATGTTCAATAGCGCTTCGGAAAACACCACCATGAGTTGGGTTGTTGCGTGATGCTTTGCCTGATCTTGATTGTTCCGTTGCTTTGTTTCTTGCATCATCAGGAATGCCAGTCGACCAATAGAATGTGTGTGTTTTGATGCGTTTCCTGGGCATTGTGGTTGATGTTACTCATAAGATGGATAATTCTTTCACGTTTCGATATTGGTAAAAGTCCTCTGCAGTTCAGGAAAACAATTTTGCAATTTTTCCCGGGTGTTTCTTGATAAGCACAAGCGCCTGATAATCCGTATTGTCTTAGTTAATGCTACAAACGGCTTCTAGCATGGAATTAGCCTCATCTGCCTTAGCCGCCCTCACTACTTCTGAATACAGCATGTTACATGATGAATATGCGCCTGTTGGTTCTGGAGCTAAGAAAGCATTGGCCTGAACAGCCAAGTCGGTGGCCTGCTTTTTGCTTAGACGATACTCGGTGCGATGGCACGTCGATTAACAGCACGATTAACGCGACGTTGTATACGTGCAACCTCGCTCCTGCATTTCCTTATTTTGAGGGTGGCAGGTTGGTTACCGCTGTCTGAGAAATCAGCGGGGCTTTCCCGCATCACCGTTGGGGGGTCTGCTGGCGTGCAGGGGAATTTGGAAACCTTTTCATTTACAGGGTTCTTATTGGCATGATTTGCCATGGGCGATTTCATGGAGTAGGCTTGGTTATGAAGCGACAGGTGGTGGAAGATTCGGGGTAAGGTGTATTGTCTCAATTGGTATGGACGAGAATACTGCGAGAATACCTCGAGAGGCCCGTGGACCTTGTGGAGAAAGCCAGAGGATTTCTCCATTGGAGTCTTTCTGTCAAAGCGTGAGCGAGAGTACCCAGAAGTTGCCTCGAGAGGTCCTGAGACCTTGTGGCCCGAGCCAAGTTGCATCTCCACCTGGCGCTTGTTTCCTAGATTTTGGTTTCCATACGAGTCATTGTTTCTCATTTGTTTCATCGAGTGGTGCGTGCCAACACTTTTCCCGGCTTGACGGGAAGAAAAAATGCCAGCCGGGCAAACTGCGGTTCGAGTTCGGCTCAAAATTCTTGCGCTTGTAGGGGCGTGGGTCTGGGCGACAGCATTCTGCCATAGCTCACGCGCCAAACCTCCCAACTGTCCTTCACTGACACGAAAGGAAATGGCGAATGGGACTTTGGCCCACTTTGCATGCCAGGTTGTACGGCATGCTGGCATTTTCAATCTCCATAGATGTTGTAATGCTCCCCTTTCCCGTTCCTTTGCCTTTTGCGCGGCCTGACTGGTTGAGGAGCTCTTCGAACTTGGAAATCCAAGCCTGCTCAAAAGCTACATCGTCTGCAACGTGCTTGGCTGACATATACAGGACCATTTTGCCTTCGTCCGGGAGGAAATGACACCAAATCAGATATTCACCGCCGTCCTTTGTAATCAATGTGTGGTCTTCCCAGCTGTGTTTTGAAGGTCGCGCCGCATTGTTCCATGACGTTCATTTACACCGTCAAGGGATACTTGAGGTTCTATCGAATAGCGAGATTTGTGGCTGAACTCGGATTTCTTTCATGTTCTGGCCCCTGTCCTGGTACTTCCCGAAAATCTTGAGAACCTTCTCCCAATTGTCCTCAACCTGATCGCCGATGTAGAATTTCTCTCGGAGATGCTGGTTGTTGGACTTGCTTCGGGTGAAATTAAGTAGCTTCTTCCTTTGCCAGGGTTGCGTGATGACTACGACAGTCATTGCCGAAAGCATATCGCCTTTAGTTTCGTGCGAACAAATCCACTCTCGGTATATAATAGAAAATGGATATGCCGGCTTTGTTCGCAACCTCTTTGATGAAGCTCTCACGAGACTCCACTTGGCGTTCTAGCTGAATGCCTCGATCTTCCAGATTGGTGGCGTCTGAGACGAAAGTGCTCCACCCTCCCACCAAGAACTCTTTCTTGGCCTTCTCCCGCAGTGTGTCAGCATGCTGTGCTAGTAGATATGCGGTTTGAATTCTGGTCGTCGTAATCTCTTGCTGCAGTTCCTGGAGAGTTTGAATTGCCATAATATTCGCCCAAGCAAGGCTACACTTCCCAAAGCTACACCCGCCCCGGTGCAGAGGCCCCTAGGACCTAAGAAAACGCATCCAAACCGGCCCCTCTATCGGGGCTCCGCTACAACAAGAAAAGCCTAACGCACAGCAAAACGCCGACCCCTGCGCCAAAGGCCGTTTTGCACCACTCACAAAACTCCCAGCCTTCATGGCTATTATGGAAAACAAGCGTCTGAAGCTGCGGGCAAAAATGGGACTTATCACAATCCTACTGTGTGGAGACGTGCGGAGGCATGAGCAGCTGCGCTGACAGCTGAGCATCTTGCATTACCGCCATAAAGAAAGTCGTGCCCTGTGAAAGCCTCACTTGTGCATCAGCATTGCCAACAACAACTCTTGACACCGTACCATTCAAGGCAAAGTGGAAGAGCCATTTTGAGCAATGTTGGGTGACCTGCACGTTCTCAACTGAGATAGTTGCAAACGCCACAGCAATTTGTGCAGCTCAGCAGCTGAGCAATGTTGACAGAATTCATTCCTGCATGGCATGCTTTGCAAGTGCAATAATTCAAAAAGAGGCAAATGCCTCTTTGGTAAGCTTTTCCAACTCAGCCACAGTGCCTGCTGTTCGCGTGGATACCGTCTGGAAACTTAGCACGACAATGCACACAACATAATCAAACCCACGGCACACCTTTTTTATTTGAAGCATAAACCAGCCTCGAACTGACAAGGAAACTTCAGGGGGTGAGCTGAGCGTGAATCTTTGTGCTGCAGCCAGCATTACCCTACCTCTGCGCAAACCACCTTAGCTGAGTATATCAACAAACGATTCCGGAAGCAAAGCATTCTCTACCCATGTCACCTCAATCCAAATGCTGTTGTTGGCCTTCGTGCAAGCCTTCTAGTTTTGCAAACCTTTTGTGTTCTCTGATCTTCAGAGAACATCTTTATTGCTGGCACTTCTTACACGCACTTCCTGCTGAGTTGCAGACAAGGCGTTGCCCAAGATTTCATGGGCGTACAGCCCCTTGAAAGCCGCGCTGCGAAAATCCTGACCACGCGCTGTCGCAGCCCTCAAGAAAAAAAATGTTCCCCAAATGCATCCACGGCAAGAGAGTAATCTTTTGCCAGCCTGGATCAGGATCACGAATGTTCCCAGGACATTTAAACCCACAACAACCAACACCAGCCACATGGTGTGGACGGCCGGGAACATGTGCCTGCCAAGGCACGCGTTACTTCAAACGTCAGGCCAGCCCTTGACGGATTTTACAAGCCGGGACGGCGTGAAGCACCGTCGCGGGTGTTCCAGGAGAAAATCCAGAACTTTCCTGGTCTCAGAGTGTGGCCTCAGCAGATTACATCTCAGCCGGGCACTCTAAGTTCTGGATAGGAATCCAAGCTGCGCACCGTGTGCTCCTTCTCCAAATTGCCGCGATCAAACGTATCTGGCAAAAAACGCAAAGTATCAGGTCATGTGGGGCCTGGCAGTTGTCACGCTATCTGAGGTTGACCTATTGCTATAGGTAGCCAACGTCTCAGCTGAAGCTTGTGCAAACAAATCATCTGCTGCAAGAAAACATGTATGGGTCATGAACAACAAACTGGTCCAAGGCCTACGCTTTGTGCAAGGTCTGGCTTGTATGGGCGTATGTTCGTGGTGAAGTTCTCAAATCACCACCCTCTTAATCCCTCTTGAGAGTTGGGGGGGTCACACCCCCCGCCACAGGAAGCTTACTTAATTTCAAGCCTGACGCTGAAATGGAGTGTGGCCTGGGGAGTGGAGAGGTACAACAAAATTTCAGGGAGGGTTGCCAGAAGTCCATGCTACTGCTGCTGCTGATGCTGAGCCCTCTACACACAGCACAGTACACCTACACATTGCTCAATCTTGGCATGAACTTTCGCTGCAAATGCATATGTCACTGGGGGAGGGGCACCAACCGCTCCCCAGTGCACCCGCAGCCCGACCCATGCCATGAGCTGACACACAACCTCAAGCCACCAGCGCGAATGGCCCCTGCTTCAAGATAAACGGAATCCACATACCGCAAGCCGAATTCCTGACAAGAACGCGGAGTCAAACGCACAGCTCCCACACCTAGTCGCCACCCAGCTTGCTGGCGCAGAACTATACTCTCTGTGCTTTATGAGCGATCCAGACGCCTGCGCGTCAGCAGCGCACGCCAATCAGAATGGTGTCTGTTCCTGACACGCAGCTGACGCCAGACCTCCGGTGCAAAGCGACAACGCGTCTGCCCACACATTTCGCACACTAGCAACGTGCAACACCCAAAGATTTACTCGCTCCCGCATACAAAGCACCGCAGGGCGCCGCGGGAGCTTGAAGAACAAAGCATAGTGGCCTGCGCATTGATAGGCTTTTGCTGGCGCTGCAAGCAACACCCATGTTGTCACACTGTTGTCGCACGCAGATGCGACCAAGCGAAGCCCTGAACTGTCCCTCAGACAGCCTAGCATCCAATCGCATGAGCTGCGCCAATGCTTCCAGCGCGCATATGCAAGACTGCAACGACGCCACGGGCTTGCCTTCATCGTCTGTGCAAAACCAACTGGGCAAATCAGAGCGGTGCACCCGCACTGCGAAAAACTTGATGCTGGCCCGGTCCAACTCGCAATTGGGAGGTGACCAACAGCCCCCCCAGGCCAGCAACATCCCCCCCAGCAAACGCGTCCGCAGCAGCGAGCACACCTGGGGCCTCATGCTCGACCAGGTGTAAAAGGAGACCGCGGCCTCCTCTTTAGAGGCCTGCACCTGCCTAGACGCAGTATCACCAAATTTGACCTTAACATGCCCTTGCCTGAAACACAGTCCTGCGCACGCCCGCCTATCAGAGGTCTGCCACCGCACTCCAGCAGCTTCCACCCAGCTTGGGCATCACAAAGCACGGCCCCATGCCTCAAACACGCGCGATCATCTTTCAGCCAACTGTGCCCTGTCCAGAGGCAAGAACCGCAGCGCTGGCTTCAAAAGCATGTGAAACCAAATGGCCATCCAAGGCTTCAGCCACTTGGCACCACAAGTGCACCACGACAGAAGCCCAATTACATAGGGACTCCAGCGCCCACCGATCATGGCTGGACCCAGCACGAGCAACCGCACGCAAGCTTGTTGTGAGCCTAGCAACCTTGTCCTCGGGCAGCGTGGCACAAAGCCGACCATTCAATTCAAAAAGCCAACCAATCCAACGCACTTGTCTGGCAAGATACAGCTTGTGCCAAGATAGCGGTACCCAATTCGCACGCGAACAATATTTGTAGGCAGGCAACACCAGGTGCGGCCCGCACTGGAAGCAGAGAGAGGCTGTCATCCGCATAATTTGAAAGAAAATGGGACAGCACCAGGATCAGCTAATGAATTAATCGGACGAAGCCAGCCGCCACTCGGGCCCACCAGAAGGCAGCCCACGCGCAGCCGAAGTGGCATGTTTTGTAAACAAGCCACCTAATGTCCTCTGCGGCATCCACCACGCTGAACAGAGAGAAGCCCTGCTCCGAGCCAGGAACCTTGACCCGCTTGCACGCTTTGCTCACATCCATGAGAAAGGCCGTCCCCTCACTCTGCGGGCAACGGGAAAGGAACTGCGCCACATCATCCAACATGGGCAGCTCTCAGACACTCGGCAAAGCCGGTTTGCATTCGACACTGCGCTATCGCCAATGAGACGAGGCGCAGCGCCGCACCCTCCTTTTGCACAAGGCCAAGCCTGCCAGCAGCACACCGATTCCCAAATCTCGCCCAGGCCTCAGCAAGACCGCCTAGGAGCCATTCCGCAAACCCTGGTCATGCACCGGGAGCTCCAAGTCCGGGTGCTCCGGCAGATCCACTTGGCGCCACACGCCGGAAGGAGGAATGGCGGTCACAATGCCCGTCGGCACCCCTTGCGCAAGAATGTCACCCGTCAACGAAAACAAGCCATCCCAGAGCTCAAGCGCTATAGCGGCTGCCCAGGCGCAAAAATTAGCGGCACGCGCGAACCCATGTTCACTCAAGAAAGACACGACATCCTCACGGAGTAGTCAAGTCTCTGCATCACTCAACAAAGGCTCACGCTGCGCCCGACCAATCGCGCGCTCCAACCTACGCTCTAGCTGCCAATCGTCAATACGTTGCAACCATGTGTGCCGCAAGCTCCGCAGCACACCTGGGCCCGAAAATAACACCAATCTGCATCCGAAATGATACCACCACCATCACGCAGCCGCCCATCTGCCCGCTGCGGCACAGGCCCTGCAGCACGACTTGTCGCGGAACCCAGGCACGTGTCCGCACTTGACAATGCCGCTGCCGCACGGCCGCACGGTCAGCTCCATCTCAGTTAGGCTGTCTCCGTTGTCAGGTTTTGCCAACTAGGGGCGCTCAATCAGGACGCGCCGAAGCATGTCCCTGTCAACAATAACATGAGACACAGGGCGTCGTCCAACGTGTGGCCTGAGAAACAAAGCTGGAAGACCTCCTCAAGCACCGCGCTGTCTGCAGAGTCTGCTTCCTGCACTGTTGGTGGCGGGTGGAAATGATCCGACGGCTTGTTCGCATAATAATAACGCAGGAATTTCTTCACATAGACAGCCCAGCTATGCAAACGGCCAGCCCCAATCATGGCAAAGTGTGCGCTCGGGTCTGAATGCACTGTACGCGCAGCGCTGCACCAGCCAACTCCAGCTCCCACTCTTCAGGCGGTGCTTCCGCGCCACTCCCATAGCTGGTACGGTGGTCTTCTGCTGTTGCGTAGACTGCAAACAACACAGCGCAGGCAAGGTTTCGGCAGCGACGCAGGAATGGCCCTTTCCCAGCTGCTGCATTTTCTCACGCTCACTTGGTGTGAGCTTGCCAGGAGGGGCAGCAAGCGCCAACGCCAGAGCTGTCCCAGCTGCCAGGCTCGCAGAAGGCAAGCTCAACACGGGCAGCGCTTGCCCACTCCTCCAAAAAAAACCTTGAGACGGCTTCCACAGCCCACTCATCGCTGGCAGCGCAGACAACACCAAGCTTCGAAGACAGCTTGGTCAGCCAACCTTCAAAGGCTGCCTGATCAATAAATGCGCCGCCAAATCTCTTCCATTGCATGGGACTCCTTCGGCCTTAACACGTAGCAGGAATTGCCACGCCATTAGGAACAAATCAGCTGCCTCCGCGAACTGCTCAAGTTCCGCGCACAACGATATCAGGCGGGCAACTGTAGCATGATCCAACAACAAGGGGCTTGAAGGAACGCCCTGCATGCTCTGCTGCTGCTTCTTCAACCCTTGTATGGCCAGCTTGACCTCATCGTCATGCCATTGCAACCCCAGTCCCCAGCATTTACAAGCCCACACTACGCAACCCACGTAGTTGGAGGCAGTTGCAGCATTGCGGAACAGCGCCAAGAACAAAATGACATGTTGCGAGCACACTGGCGGAAGAGACTCATCAGCAAGATAACCCAAGACTGAAACAGCGAACGCACGCCAGGCCCGAAGTCCTGACGCCAACGACTGCTTGTCCTTGCGGGAAGACTGTTTGAGCTTTTCGGCTTTCCTCTGCAGAATCTGGATGGCATCCACATGGCTTGCTGCTCGCTCATGCCACTGCTACACGCGGACCAGCCCCTCGACGCTCGGATCCAAGAATGTTGCCAAGATCATTCTCTACGAGCCCTTTTGCGAGATGCCTGTGTAGTCGCCACATCCACGGCCACGGCGCGCTTGAGCAACGCTTTGCCTTTGTCGCACTGAGCAAACTTCACCGCCGTTGTAGCGGAAAGTCCATCTAGACGCGCAGGATAGTGAAAGCCCCTACCGACCAGTTGTAGCGCTGCACGCTGATGCCAGACAGCCAGAGTGTCGGAATCATCTACGTCAAGCAACCACTGCCCCATGGCCTGAACTTAGCTGCTTCCAGCTATTGCTGAGTTCGGCCCGTCGGACACGGCCCAACTCAGGTAGTTTGACCCAGATTTCGGGAACATCCAGCACCACACGCCCGCCTGTAATTGCCACATCCTCCGTGTCGACTTGCATGCTTTCGGCTCGTTTGAGCAGGTGAATCATCTCTTGATTGGCACTGATCACGAATGCCTGGAGCACATCCTGCACCAATATCATCGCCGACCATCTTGATGATTTCCAGACCTGTTTGTCTGGCTGAAGGTTGCTTGAGTCTGGGGCGGAAGATGTCGTAGCTGCCGACGCTCTTCCATCCTGCGAGCGCGGCATCATGAGCTAGCTTGAGCAAGACAAGCACAGAAGGGACGAAGGCATTGGCTGGCGCACAAGAAGCTGCGAAGGTGAAGGACAGCACCGTGCCTTGTTTTTGGCACCCTCAAAGCTCAGGCATACTCCAAAACTGCTGCACCCATGATGGGAGACGGGGCTGCATCCAATAGGCTTTCATCCGCTGCAGCAATGTTAGGGAATCGCGCGTCGAGCCATCCGCCGGATTAGCAGCGGA